AAAAAAAAAATCCTCAAAACTGGGGTAATAAGTAACATCATAATAAATTAAAAGATTGAAGTTGTTGAATCAATCAAATCTGTGGAAATAAATGATGGAGAAACTTGATATTATCTGGCAAAATAAAGCCAGGCATGGACTGAGGCACAGACCATCAACTGATCATATGCAAGTTTCAGTTGAAACTGAAGAATATGAAAACATGTTAATGAGTGCCAATCTTCATAATATCCCACCTGAATTTAGAGACCACCTCAATAACAGATTTGACACACTGAATACTAATGGAAGACAACTAGATGAGTCTTGGAATGACATCAAAGACACCAACATGAAGAGACCAAAAGGCCACTAAACACAGGAAAGAATGAAAAGACCTAAATGGATGTCTAAAATGACTCTCAAACTTGCTCTTGAAAATAAAGTAGCTAAAATTAAAGGAATAACTGATAAAGTAAAAAAATTGAACAGAAGATTTCAAAGCTTGAAAACATAAAGTATCATAATGAAATGTGCAAAGGGAAGAAACATAACTCAGCATTTCTCAAGCTGAAATAACTGAAGATAAAATTCAAACCTTGAGTTACAGTACTGAAAGATTCTATTGGAAATTCACAACGGTAAGTCAAAAAGTACCATTATAAAATCATGATGTTTTTAGGTCTTGGTGAGTCAGTTCCAACTCACAGTTACCCTATGCGCAACAGAACAAAACACTGTCCCATCCTGTGCCATCCTCACATTTGTTATGTTTGAGTTCATTATTACTGCCACTGTGCAAAACTATCTCACTGAGGGTTTGACCTTACTTGTTGACCTTCATCTGTATCAATTTCCAGGGACTGGTTCCTCCTAACACATCCAAAATACAAGGAGTGAAGTCTTGCCATCCTTGCTTCTGTAATTCTTCGAAGAAACATTTGTTTGTTCTTCTGACAGTCTGTGGCACTTTAATTATTTCTCACCAACACCATAACTCTCAAGCATCGAATCTTCTATAGTCTTCCTTATTCATTGTCCAACTTTCACATACATATGAGGTAATTGAAAATACCATGGTTTGAGTCTGGTGCCCCTTAGACCTCAAAGTGACTTCTTTGCTCTTTAAGGTCTTTTGCAGTTGATTTGCCAAATGGAATACATCCTTTGATTTCTTGACTGCTCCTTGCACGAGTGTTGATTGTGGATCCAAGCAAAATGAAGCCTTCGACAACTTCAATCTCTTAACCATTTACCAAGATGTTATTTATTGGTCCAGTTGTGAGGATTTTTGTTTTCTTTGCAATGAGATGCAATATACATTAAAGACTGTAGTCTAAGATCTTCATCAATCAGTATTTCAAGTCCTCTTCACTTCCAGCATGCAAGATTGTGTCATCTGCATATCGCCAGGTCATCGATGGGTCCTCCTCCAATCTTGATGCCACATTCCTCTCAATATAATCCAATTTCTTGGATTATTTGCTCAAAGGATAAATATATTTTCAATGTGGTATGTACATATAACAAAAAAAAAAAAAAAAACGGTAATAGAGATAAATACCATTAGCTGCTGGTGCGTGGAGGGGATTGTAATCATTTCAATGATTTGCTGAATGTAATACTGATGATCTGCCCTGTAAACCTTCATTCACTGAACTCACAATAAAAGCTTTAAAAATTAAACAAAAAAAAGAGCAGACAAACACAGGAGACCAGTGCCATACTGGTGGTGTGCTAGTGATGTGCCATGTGTTGGTTCCAACTCATAGGACCCTGCATAGTGTTTCTGAAACTGTAAATCTTTACGGGAGCAGAAAGCTTCATCTTTCTCCCATGGAACCACTGGTAGTTTCGAACTGTTGACCTTGAGGTTAGCAGCCCGACTCATAACCACTAAGCTACCAGAACTCCTTAGTGCCACACTAAGAGGCTTCAGAAAGTGAGTGAAAAATGGAATGTTTTCTACAAACTTTCTGAAGCCTTCCTCATACATATGAATGGGATGAATTTGTGTGAATAAACTGGAGCAAGAAGAAATAAACAAAAAAAAAGAATGAATAAGTAATGTAAAAGGACACTGCTGTGGCACACACCTGTCCTGATTTTAAACTATTCAGTATCCCCTTATTCTGTTTTAATGACTGTCTCTTGGTCTATGCACAGATTCCCCATGTGCACAATTAAGTGGTCTAGATTCCCACTGTTCACGTGGTATCCATAGTTTGTTATGATCCATACAGTGGAATACCTTTTCATAGTCAATAAAATACAATCTCTGATTTTAGCCAAGATCCATTTAACATCAGGATTTGTTCCAAATCCTCTTTTAAATCTGACTTGAATTTCTGGCAGCTCCCTGTCAATGTACTGCTGCAGCTGTTTCTGAATTTGCTTCAGCAAACTTTCATGTGACATTAATGATGTTATTAAATGGTTTCTGTAATCCATTGGGCCACCTTTCTGAGGAACAGGCACAAATCTGGATCGCTCCGATCTGTTGGCAAATTTCTTGGTATCAATGAATGAGCACCTCCAGTGTTGCATTAGTTTGTTGAAATATTTCAATTTGTATTTCATCAATTCCTGGAGATTTGTTTGTCATGAATGTGTTCAGTGAAGCGCTGGCTTTTTTTTTTTTTTTTAAACAGCATATATTTTATTTTCTAGCACACAATAAACAACATACTTCTCCAATGCCAACAGTATCCTCGTATCAATTCTTTTCATACAGAATCGGGTATACTGGAAGCAAAT